AGAGGACGGAGAAAGGTCGTTGAAAACTAAAAATAAAAGTTCATCACGGAGTTCTGAATCTTAAGCAGAAAAACTTTTCTGCTTAAGATGGTATGGAGAGGACAAGAACGAAACAGCAATTTATAGGCCTCGCTGTGTATTACAACAATAATTTGAGGTGAATCACGTACAACAACAGGTAGAGGCAGAAGCATCCAAAAAACATGTAGAAGAAGTTGAAGAAACACGCTCTATCACCTCGAACTCCCAGCACTTTCGAAACTCGGAACCAATTGACCCTAAAGTAGTTGAAACTTGAAGATGTAGATCTCCATACTGAGTTACTCCCGCTTCAAGCACTTCCCCACGTTCTTCCGCCGTTCCACCAGTGCATGCAGCTGCATCAAATTTGGTACTGACCTCTCGGGAAAAACGAAGAAATGCTGCTTCTTCTCTTGAGCTTGACTTTGCGTACAGCACAATCACAAGGCAGTGGTTTGGATTTCCGCTCTTTCTCTTGTTCGTTTCCCTGTTTCCTACGAAAGCGATTCAAATGTGGAACGGGGATGACTGAAATCTTACGTGCAAACGGTATGATCCGTTTTTACCAAATGATGGTTAACGTTTTGTATTCAGATGGAAAACGTTGAGCGATGAGGAAAATTGAGGAAAATTCGATGGTTAACGTTTTCCATCTGATGGAAAACGTTCGAAACCATCGAATTGATTCGTCGAATATCAATCGCAATCAGCGGAAAAACTCCGCAGTTATTTCTTTCAGCTATGCGGGTCATAATTCAAATTTGAATTATGACCCGCATTAATTCAAATGTGTTCCCATTTGAATCAACTGACACATTCATATTTAATGGGAACACATCCGGCTTCTCGTCAAAGGATATTGCTTGACTTAGCTCTATGATCATCCATCGTTCAATGTCTGTAAACGTGGAAGAACAGGAATAACTGTCAGTGGAAGAGCACAGTGGAACGATTTGCATTTCATAAGAAAATGAAGGTATACATTGGTGCTGTAAAATTTGATCGAAACGTTGTTATATTGATCTGAATCATGTTATAATGTGGGGGGAGTTTCCTGAACGCACTTGACAGTTTTGATAATCGGATTTGGTCTTGACTATTCCTCTGACTCTGAGTTTCAATTATAGCGTGTCGAGTCTCTTCAGAAGGTCGGATGACCACTCTACTTATTCTCAAGGCGAAAGTTGTTAATCTCTGAACTTTCATTTCCATATAAATTGAAATGTTTTCTTTACGTTCGATACTATGTGAAACAAGTGCGTTCTTCGAGCAATGGCAGGTCCACTTTCTAGTAACCTTAATGAAAGCCTTCAATCGATTTTGTAGCGAAGTGATTGAACTGAAAATAATGTATATAGAGACAAGTTTTGATGAAAGAAAAAAAACAGCTAAGTGCCAGCTTGTCGACTCAAATGTGTTCACTTTCTGACACGGCGTATGTCTTAACCTGTGGCAACCAGGTGTAAATGTGGCTGATAAAGAATTAGAAGGCCGGCGTTGATTCGCTTAACATTCCTCCATCTGCAGCTGCATCATAAGTACGAACTGAAATATAAGAACTTTGATTATATATTTTATATATGGTTACGCTGGACTAATGTTCTTCTTGAACAATTCTGTCAATAACGTACCAAACTGCAGTTGAATTCAATCTTACAAGACCCATGAGAATGAACTGAAGTCTTACCGATAGCACACCGTTCTGTACAGTATTGTTCTTCATGTGACACCACAATCAAATCACTACTAAATAAAAAGCATATTTTAAAGCTATCGTAGTAGGTAAATTCGTTATCCATTCAGCCGTCCATTGGATAGTCATTCTAGGATAATCATTGTCTAGTTGTGTCATAGAGGAGAAACCTGCTCTATATATATATATATAAAAATAAACGCTCAAATATCAACATAAATTTGATTTCGATATAGTTAACATCTTGTGTAAGGTTGAAGTACTTGTTCCGGATTTATCATCAATAGTACCTTGCTCTTGTTAAAATTCCAAGAGCTTACTAACCTCACTAGTAACAACAATAAAATTAAGACTTCAGTAAATAGCAATCACAACACTTGAATAGAAGCCAGCTTTAATGCTATTTTCATGGCATCATTGGAGTGTGGTCATTATCAAATAAATGATAAATTTATTTCCATTGACCTGTTATATACTAAAATATAGGAGTTCATCTTTCAAACCCGAGTATTACGTCTTAAATCAACAGTCCTAATTCTAAGATGGATGATGGCTGGCAAACACTGCACTTATCATATTAATATTAACATGTCATAACTTCAGAAAGTAATGTCACCATAATAATGAACTATTTTGATATTAAGAACTCATTTTATCAATCAGATCATTCTCACTGTATGGGGAGGCACATTAACGCTCATCTGTATTATCAACTTCTTGTGTTTATAATATTTGTTTTAGTAAGGGTATTATGAAATCATGTTCACACTTGGACATTGCACCAATCTAGCTCTTTTGGTACTCAACAAACCCTCTACACATAGAGAAACGTTTAACCATAGAACGAAATATATGACGTACAATCATGGCGTATCTTGCATTATGTATTTTTTCAAATTTTTTTGCAGTATGTTCCTCATCTTTGAATCAAGTAATTACTGCCGCCAAGAATTATGTATTTCTGGCGGACATGGACTTAAACAGTGGACTTATGTAGCTTAGATAGATGAAGATCAGATTTGGAATCTTTCTTCCTAAGAATCTCAAGCTCCCTGCAAATACATGGATGTTTCAAACTAAATACATGGTAAGAAATGGGGCAAATGAGTATTACGGACTGGAAGCTCGTACAAAAGTTGGCTATGCCACTGAGCAACTACTTATGGATGGAGAATGACAATTATGGATTTATGCAACCAATGTATAATACCATTCGTAGCCTCAAAGCAGTAGCCTTGAAACAGTACCATGGCTGAGACCTTCGTTGAGACATTTTCAAATCATGAAAATGTCGATACATATATATAAGTCGATAGCTACCTTTCTTTTTCTTGTTTGCATATAACACTTGAATGTCCAGCCGTAACTTGTCGCACTGCATACACGTTGGATTGAGACAACTAGTGTGTCCAATAAGACTGAAATTCAGGATAAGACAGGTCAAGGAATTGAGTAATCTCAATTTGATCGGGTTTTTATCTGAAGTAAAAACCAAATGATATATGAAAAGCACATGAAGAACCAACAAGTACTACGCGGATGAGACCCCCACAGTGGCATGTCGTTAATATCTCCTATTGCACCCAACCCATCCTAACTATCTACATCGCACTGTCTCTTTACCTCAAACACTTAACATGATGAATTGAGTACCTCTATAAGCAACCATCATTACGAAAGTTTGTGGTCCTGAGGATTAATAACGTCGGCTTTTTGTGTATGTTCTCCTCAGATCTGTACTCGCTCTTGAGCTCCAAAGTCTTCTACTTAACTCACGTCTACTAAGCTACTAAGCTATGATGGAAAGAAGATGTACACATCAAGGTCTGCGCAGACTATTCTCCGCGTTACGAGTTTCCATCGAAAGCAGGTACATCGCGGCTATGTGCTCTTCCAAAAAAGAAGAAATTACTCCAAGATTTTCTGCAAGTTTAATTGTTCTAAGATAAAAGTCGTCGCGGGGTCATGATTCCTTCTCCAGAACGGCTCTGCGAAAATATGCAAACGACAAACCATGTTCGTCTTACAGCAGAGTAGCTCGGCTGGGCATGCACCACTATAGCTACACATATACGTAGACTTTGGCTACTGTCAGATGGAAGAACTTCCTGCAAATTGCAAGCGGCACATTTGGATTTCACAACACTCAGGTTTGATCGACTTCTTAAACATAATAATTCACACAACTCATGAAATATTCCAAGGTAAGTGTCGTTATCTTCATATCTGAGAATTATTTGGTATCATACTAAGCTCTAACTGTGGTAGGAGTGAATGCCATGTGCCATATCTCGATCTTCATAGTCTGTCGATAAAATATAGTACTAATAACTAAACCAAGTCAAGTAACTTAGGTGAAATCGTAACGGTACAGAGGGATTAAAATTTTTTGAAATTGATGTTTCATGATCAATTATAGCTTTGAAAACGATGGTTGATTCTCCTGTCTCTATAATGTCATCTATTACTACATATTCTTTCAAGTTCTGAACACCTCTATCAGAATCTTCGAATGCACATAGCTATTGAAAGACCTGATATATATGCCAAGAAAATTCTTTAGTCGAGCCAAAACAGATTGCACTAATAACCGTAGGAGATCTCAAACTGCGGCTTATGTTGGTGTATGAATGAGATATTCTGCTCTTAGGAAATTTGAGACATATGAATGTATTACCTCATTGTAATATGTTCCATGATCCAGTTCCTCCGGTGCAATCGACTTTGGTCATCGTTCGACGACAGATGGAAAACTAGAACTAACGATAAATCCTATTCCAGAACTGAACGTGGTCGTAAACAAAAAATTTAGAGATTCAAATGGGGAGGAAAACCCCTCTCGCTTCTTGTCGATGAGTCTTTTCCTCTAATTACTTGCTATATGTCAGACAGCCATACTATAGACATCGAGTTCTGCACGACAAGGCTCTGACCATCTTCATGGACATCCCGCCTAAAGACATTCTTTTGCATGTTGACTTTCTGAGTCAGTTCCAACTGAATTTCATAATGAATGAAGAGAATAAATTAAATCCACAGCTCTGACTGAGAGTGAAGACTAAACGTCTAATTTGACTAGGTTCAAACTTTATAAGTGCATCATTATCCTTAAGGTTTCATACTGAATTGCCAGAAATGTGTGCTTTATTTTTGTTAGAGATGAATACATCTAAGATAATTTGGACAGGTTGGAAAATTTGGAATTTCCAATTCATAGTCATTGTCAAAGTTGACATTCAGTATATTCTCACTGGTTGATTTATTTATTGACTAAATTGTATATATGGACTCTAAACTGGAGGGCTGCTTCGGATGAGGAAAATATGTAATCATTTGTGTACCACATCCAACTGGAAGTCGCTTCTCATAATCCTTGACTTTCGTAATGATTTATAATCAAATAGTCTTCAGTCAAGGAGATCCAGATGTTCTCCAGATCGGTTGTCAACCAGTGTCTGTTACAAGCCTTCATAAACTCTAATCCTTTTGCTCATGAAGGTATGATGTCCCAAATGTATATAAATAGCTCCAGATCGATCCCAGTGATATCATTCATTCGCACGGCCTTCTGCTATCAAGCGCATAAGATATCGACGACTGTTGGAAAGACTCATCTTCAAGCTCCATCGAAATCATGAAGACGGTCTATGCATCTGTATTCATTTGTGTGGTGGTTCTCAGCGGATCCATCGCAACAGGTTCTTCGGAACTTCGTACTGATGAGCATGAGTTGGTTTTTAAAGTCAGGGCCCTTTTGCAAATACCATCAAATCCTTCTCTGCCACCACCGCAAACTGCAGGAAATTGTACCTTGTTCAACCGTACCATCTGTTCAAATCTTATTCTCAACCCCGCTGGTGGAATAGATTGCTGTGCTGGAAAGTGCGTCAATGTCGCTACTGACAATAACAATTGCCTCCTTTGTGGAAATAAGTGTCCTACGGGAACCACTTGCTGCAGCTCATTTTGTCTGAATCTTCAGAACAATGGTTTCAATTGCGGCCGCTGTGGTTTGGTATGTCCCTTCCGAATCATACCGTTTCTCCCTCTCTTCCCTGGAAGATGCGAGAAAGGTGTTTGTGTTTAGGACTCATCATCGGCTGGACGGTGAGTTGTGCCTTGTTTACTTCGGTTTCACCTGAACCAACGATCCGTCGATGTCGATGATTTTATCTAGTCATTAAACCTTGCTGGTTACGGAAACAAATCTATGTATTTATATCTTATAGTTTTGAATACCCAAGATAAGATTTATACGAGATTATGTTGTGAGTTTCTCTTTCTAACAAGGCTCATTTCTCTTATGTGCAGAGAGCACAGCATCAATGGTTCGGAAGTTCTACTGCATATTTTGGCTGCACTCATTGTCTCGAGGCTTTGGAGAGAAGTTATTTAAATACTAAGAAAAAATGTCGTGTGAAGCATCTGATCATAGAATAAGTATGTAGATCATATCTCCAAAACGTGGTCTTGTTTGAAATGCTCCCACATTAGTAAAAGAGCCTAGTGACTACCATAACTACCTTGATCTCCAAATTCTCTTTCAATAAATCTACAAGGTTAGAGAAGATCATAGGGGTTTTATGGGAGATCTTCAATGTTGATGAATTTTAACAGTTTTGTAATCGATGAATCATACCTTAATGCAATACCCTTACTGATAACTTGATAAGCATGCAGTTTTAGCTGTGACTACCTGCAGACTCAATGACAGAGTGATGAAGACCTGTAACTCTAGAATTGCAATAGAAGTCATCTCTCGACAATGGTACCGCTCTGGACCATCACCATGCTCATGGGCAAAACCCCAAAAATTAAGTAAAACACTGTGTGCGTGTGATAGAATTATTCAGGATGGATCACTGTAACCAGATTTTCCAACAAGTACCGCTTCACTGAAGAAGAAAGTATGGCACAGTCTAGTGATATGGGCTTATGTGTCTTATAATTAACACATATTCGAACGTAGATGCTCACTTCAATGCACCAGAATAACGTGATTAACAAATTTGTCCAAATAAAACTGACAATGAATCAAATAAATAAAATTAGACAAGTTGTGGAATTGTTTTTCGTGATTGTTCATATTTAAATTAAATTATTTACTTTATTTACAAAATAAGAATCAAATCACTTTATAAAAAGATTCATGCTAAAATATTTTCATTGGTATCAGAAATAAAAGTATATGTGATAAAAAATTTGATTTTTGATTAATTGTCCAAATGTGATCACAAAATCTATTATTTTGAATATAAAGTCACAAATCCTTTTATTTTTTTGAAAAGACCTTATAACCTTTGTATATTTTCAAGATTTTTTTCAATCCGTCATTTTTCTCAAATTTCATATCATGGAATTTAGACAATATCACAATGATTCAATGAAGTTGCAGAATTCATATATATAATTTGTAAAATGTCAATTTTTAAACCACTTTCTCAACTTGAAATGCTTTTATAATCTCTTGGTTCCATTTTTGGCACATGTAAAAAAATAATATTTCTTCACTAATCAGTTCGAATTTTTTACTAGTTAAAACAGAACATTGTTGCAAGAGCATAACCATTTGCTCTTTGCTATTTACAAATACAATCTTAATGTTCAAGCACTTTCGTTATTTTATCCCTTAAATTTGTTTTAGAGAAGCTCTTATGAGTTTCCAAATAAATCCATAGTTTTTGATGAGTTTTGATGATATTTTTTAAAGTTTTATCATCCAAATAATATTTTGAATGATTTGTTACTAACATAATGATTAACTACTATCGCCATTCGTGTAATAATTTGTGTAGGTGACATCAATTCTTGAGAGAAAACGCAATAGAATATAACAATTACTCTAATCTTGGTGGAGTATATATTCATAATAAATTTGATGGATAGATTAAAAACATATCATATAACGGTAGATTCATGTAACAGATCATATTTTAATGGTTCACATTTTGATTTTTGACTTGTTATCATCTTCATATTTTAGGATCAATTTTTCATTTTCATTGTTACTCACCAATTACCGGTCTAATCTAGGCCGTTACTTGAAGTCAGACGACGATTTCTTCTAGTCAAACACTATGAATTCAGTTGATTCACTCATATTCCCGACACTTGGACACAAACAATTTCCACGTTGTACAAAAGCATGACCAAATGGACCATATAACTTGCTTCCCCATCTGGATCGAAAGTAGTTTATAGTTCAAGTGAATAAAAGTTGGTACCCAAATTCTTAAACTTTTACTGAGAAAGTTCTAACATTTGAAGTAGTGTGGTCAAGATGTAGGGTTTCATTGAAATCCAGTCAGATTATATCTCCAATTTCAGATAATTAGAGATATTGAAACCTTTGTCCCACAAATCAACACAGTGCCCATCAACAGCTGACGCAAGACAATGTGGATTCGGACCGGTGGACCATCTTGCATGTATGAGCATACCAAAGGTGGTTTTGTGAAGGTCTTCTTTTATCGGGATTCCATTTCCAACCATGGCGATGATCACCGCTTACGTACAAAAGTCCTCAACTAGGCATTTTCAACTATAAATCGACATTTACTTGAAATGAAAATCAAGTGATGTAGTAAAAAGTTTGGGAATACCCCAAAAAACAAGAGTGAGCAATCCTCGCAATAGCAGATATGTAAATATGTCCAATTGAACCCAATCCTAAACGTCCCAACTAGCTAGATCGTGCTGTCTATTTACCTCGAAAGCCTTGCAAAACTGGAGGGAATTTCTGTGTTTGGAACCATCATGATAGAAAATATGTGGTCCTAATGATTGAGAACGTCGTATTTTGTTTATGTTCTCCCGAGGTGTGTAGGTTCGCTCTTGAGCTCAAGAGTCTTCTACGTACCTCACGTCTATTAAGCTATGATGGAACGATGAAGAAGCTGTACACATTAACGTCTACTCAGACGATTCTCCGCGTTACGCTTTCTTTACAGAATCCAGGTATAGCCGGTAGAATCCGACTAGGTGCTCTTCCGTTATTTTGAACATTTTCCATGATTTCGTCTTTCTGCACGTTGAATTGGTCTTAGGAAAAAGTCGTAGGAGCATGATTTCTTTGTCGGAACGTCTTTGCTTAAAAGTACAAATGACCAACCATGTTCGTCTTACGGTCGAGCAGCTCGCTGGGCTTGCACCTATATAGCTATACATATACGTAGACTTTGGTCACTGTCAGATGGTAGCACACTCTGCAAATTGCATGCAGCGCACTTCGATTTCACAACCCTCAATTATATGGCGACTTCTTCAACATTACAGTTCATACTCAGCAGCTTCTTGACTAGGCTTCTCATCACGTTGATTACTCCGAGGTAAGTGTCATTTTCTTCATATCGGAGGATCATTGTAATACTACACTAGACTTTACACGTGGTGGGAGGAAATGCCTCGCGCCTCAGTTGCGATCTGAGGCGATTTTGTGCTGCCCATTCCAGCCTTCAAGCTGGTGCCAGTCACAATTCATACATGTATACATTTCAAGACCACTAATCTCATGCATTAGAAGACTGTCAAGTACACCAACAATTGCTATAAGTCACAAAGTGGCTATGTGACAATGAAGAACTGGAACTGAGAATTGTGCTACGATAAAACCTGATGCCTGAATGTTATGAAGCAAATTCCTTGATCGACGGGTCTGCCATTCAAATTTCAGTAATGTGCGTGAAGGTAACAGAAGATTGCTCTAAAATTTGAGATCAGAGGAGCCAACTTACAAACGTGTCAATTTCTGCACGACAAGGCTGTGACAATCTTTATGGAAATCTTTCCCAACGACAAGAAACAACGGTTACAAACTGTTTTTGCATGTTGACTTTCGGACTTAGTTTCAACCGGCAGTCATAAAAAAAGAAGGAAATGAATGCCATCCACAGTTTTGACTGAGTGAAGACTAAATCTGAGTCATTTTACCCGAAAGCATCACTTTGGCTTTGAACGTCTATTTGACTAGGTTCACACAGTATAAGTGCAGAATCATCCATAAGGTTCCCGTTGAGTCTGAAAATAATGGAACTTTCCGACGCTGCGATGCGCTGCCATTTCACTGGCGATGACCCATGACTACAAAATTGGCCACAAATAAGATAACCCAGTTCAGTTCTGTAAACAGTTGGGATTTCAAATAAGCAAACGTTTGTGATTTCAAATAAGTGGATCCAACCAGTGGTCATCGATTCATGATCTGAATAATTTGAAACTCAGGCAGGATTTGAAGAACTAACAATGTACCTGAATACGTCTATAGCAGATCCAGAGTTGGGATATCTACGCGCAACGGCTCTCGGACTTCCCCAATCAAATAAAATTCTGCCACGGAGTTTCAGAACTTACAACTAAACAGATGAATAGCTAACGATCCAGGACGATTGAACAGTTTTATACAACGTATCGTGATCAAATTAAACCCTCGAAATCGACTGCCGTTTCTCCTTTCTCTAGAACCTAATATCTTACTGCATTTTCTTTTTAGTTCTAAAATTCATATGAAATGCATCTCTATTAGAATATTAAAGATCACAGCGCTCTAAAAACCCTGAAATACATGCCCAGAAAATTCTCTAAAAAATCCAACAGATTCCACTGATTACCAGTTGATTTTTTCAAACGTTGGTTTACGAATGAGATATTAAGTTCCTTAAATTTTCCGACCAATGAAAGTACAAGTTTCCTGTAATGTGGGCTATGATTCAGTTCCTACCGAGCTCATCATGTGCAATTGACTTTTTTCCATCGTTCAGACTGTTTGAGATCTAGAACTAGGAATAATTCCTACGCCAGCACTAATCGTGGTCTTGTACATAAAATTTGGAGATGCAAGCGAAGAGCAAGGACTTTTTCGCATCCCCAAAAACGAGTCTTGAACTCTGGATGCTTGCAATATGACAAACAACCAAACTGTGGAGATGCCAAGTTACAAGCGTGTCGATTTCTGCACGAAAAGGCTTTGACATTCTTTATGATCATCCTTCCTCAACACAAAAATACGGTTGAGAACATTATAAACAACGGTTAAGCATATTGACTTTCGGAGTTAGTGTCAACCGAATCCTAACGAAACAACAGTATAAATGCCATCCACAGTTCTGACTTCGAGTGAAGACTGAAGGTCTCTTTACTAGGCTCTTTATAAGTGTACAATCGTCCTTAAGGTTCCCTGTAAATCTGCAAAGAGTGAAAATTTACCAACCCGAAGACAAAGTAAGAGTATCTTGCTTTGAGGTAGAGGTAATATATGAGGTTTCGGTAATTTGGAGATGCTTCAAGAAATGAGACTTCTAATTCAGACAGTTATTGTCAAAATGATGACCTTCGGAATTTATCGACTGGTTTGATTTACTGTTGACTATAATATATGTGGGGACTCTGAGCTGGAAGGCCGCTTCAGATAAGGACGACAAGTTGCAATTTTATGTACAACATCCAACTGAAAATCTTCTGTCATACTCTTTGACTTTCGTAACGAGATCCAATCGTATATTTAGTTTGATCTGCAGTCAAGGACATTCATATGTCCTCGAGATCCGTCGTCAATCAGTGTCCGTTGCTAGCTTTCACGTACTCCGATCCTTTGCTTATCAAATTATGAATACCAAGATGTATATAAAGGGGTCCAGACGATCCCAATGATATCATCCTTTCACATCGCCTTCTGCTATCAGACTCATAAGGTTTCGACGAACACTGTTGGAAAAGACTCATCTTCAAGCTCCATCGAAATCATGATGACTGCATGTGCAGCTGTATTCATTTGTGTGGTGGCTCTCAGTGGATCCATCGCAACAGGTTCTTCGGAACTTCATACTGATGAGCATGAGATGATTTTAAAAGGCAGGGCTCTTTTGCAATCTCCTGCACCTGCACCACAACCTGCTGGAAATTGTACATTCTTCAATCGGACCATCTGTTTGAATCCTATTCTCAACCCCGCTGGTGGAATAGATTGCTGTGCTGGAAAGTGCGTCAATCTCGCAACTGACAACAACAATTGCCTCCTGTGTGGAAATAAGTGTCCTACGGGAACCACCTGCTGCAGCTCGTTCTGTCTGAATCTCCAGAACAATAGTTTCAATTGCGGCCGTTGTGGTTTGGTTTGTCCCTTCCGCATCATACCGTTTCTCCCTCTCTTCCCTGGAAGATGCGAGAACGGTGTGTGTGTTTAGGACGCATCATCGGCTGGACGGTGAGTTGTGCCTTGTTTACTCCGGTTTCACCTTAACCAACGATCCGTTGATGTCGATGATTTAAGCTTGTCATTTAGACGTTGCTGCTTATTGAAAGAAGCCTCTGTTTTAAATCTTGTAGTTTTGAATCCCATAGAAAAGATTTGTACGAAAGTGTTTGTGAGTTTCTCATTATAACAAGGTTCATTTCTTTGACGTGCAGAAGCTACCTCGTCAATGGTTTGGAAGTTGTACTGGATACTGAAGTTGCACTCATTGTCACCAGATACTCGACAAAAAGGGATAGTCATCTAAACACTAAATAATGATATCCTATGCAGCATTTGATCATAAAATAACTGTGTAGATGTGATAGATGTAAGATCTAGCTCATTCAGTATTTGGCGTTCATTAACTCCACAACGGAGTCTTGTTTTGATGGTTCCACATCATTAAAAAATAAGCGAAGCTTGTCTGATCAGATTAAAAGCTACCTTGATCTCCATTCGTTTTGCGATAAATCTGCAAGAATTTAGACGATCGCAGATGTTTTATTGGAGAGTCTGAGTGTTAGGATCAAGGATCTCAAGATTAATAAAAAGTTGAAGGTTGGATATGAATGTGATTAAACTTTGAGACAATTACAGAAGTGAAGTACTAATGACCATGGAGTTGAGGCTGCGGTTTCTTGGAGACTAATTCATAGAGTGATGAAGATCTCGATCTCCAAAATAGCATTATAGGACATTTCTCCAACATATTAGACCGACCGCTCTGAACCATCACCATGCTCTTGTGTGCGTACAATATCTTTCAACCAGAACTACAAGTATGATCTCAAGACGGGGACTAATTTCAAAGACTGGATTTGTGTTTCCTGTTCATCTGGTCATTAGAACAGTGACCGCTTCTAGTGAACAAAATATATGGCTTGTTACGTTGTGTATACTTGAGTGTCTTAGTATAGTTTCTGGGTAGAAAGTGCATAGGAAAAGTGATGGAATACCCATCAACGCGTCACACTGAAACGTTGTACAGTAGCAACTACAATATCTAGGTTTTTTATACCAAAGGGTGGATACAAAAGGATCATACAAAATGATAGCTCTGTTTCATATATCTGTACTTAGTGTTCTCTCCTCAACATCGGAATTATGTATCGTTTAATAGTTTAAAAAATATTGAGTCATCTTTTGTAGTTCTAGAAATTTGATGAATCGCTCAAGAATGCAAATACAAAATCTGCATCAAGATAGTTGATTTGTAGAAAAAAAATTAATTTCATTGGGAAAAAGAGAAAACACTGATTGACATAATTCTTCAACATAAAAATTTTTTACTCAAAGGACTACATTTCCGTTGTTTTACTTCGTTTTTGAATCTATTTATGAAACACAATATATAATTTCATTACAATGCATTTATGTTTATTAATCGAAGTCAAACCTTCATCATATAGTTTAAAATTACAATCCACAAATTTCAAAAATATTTTATAGTGAGCAGAGATTTTTCATTTCCATCAAGTTGAAAGTTCAAGTTGATCACTGATATGCACACTGATAATGTGATAAGTATTACTATCATGTCAGAACATATTTTATGTAAAGAAAATGGAAGCGGCTAGTTATCACTCACTTAGGGCTAAGTAGATCAACATACATGGACAATATAGATGGCCAATTCTGATAGATTGCTCTGAAGCCTTTTCTGGACGGCTACTCCCAAACCGTAAATAAATCAAATCATTGCTAGAAAAGATACCGTTTTGAGTGAAGTCAAAGTGCAACGCACAAAAACGGGTAGAACTACGGGACAAAACATTAAGCTACGAGTTGCACATTGATAAGTCGACTTCGCTAGCAAAACCAGAAACACTTTCGTCTTAACCAGAACCAACATCTGCAGGATACGTAGAAATAACAGACAATGTGCTTACAGGAAGGATCCAAATTGATGTAAAATTATTTAGAATATAGTTAACTTTATGACGCAGAAATATAATAATCTTATATATACTTAAAATTTAGGAAAAAGTAAATTTTTAGATGCTTCAATTGGATTGATTTATTACTCCATGAAAGTTCTTCTTACACCTAAATTTTATTTTTTTTAAAATGCTGATTAAGATATACTTCTTATTTCAGAATCATCATTTGTACAAAATATATCAATAATTCAAGCAGTTCTATCTACATCCGCTGAAAATGATTCATCATACATTATCAAATGTATTTGCAAGACTGAAAGGATTTTCTAGGCCAAAAAGATCCAATTTCAATTAGATGATAAAATATCATTAATAAAACTGCTCATTTTTACTATTTTCCTTCGGTAACTGAGAACATACTTTGACTCTTATTTACGTAGATTTTAATCTTATTTAATAAACTACTTGAAAGCAAAGAGTCATCGGTAACTGAGAGTATATTTCAACTCTTCTTTGAAAACTTTTCTCCTCATTCAATAAATTACTTGGAAGCAAAGGGTACGAGTCACGTCACACACCAGGAGATGCCATGAAGATTGTCTAGCAAAAGACTTAAACACATAACCTGAATACTTACATGCGCATGAGCTGGACTAGGTTGGATAAAGTCGCGAAAACTAACGTTACAAGTAAAACTTGCACTATCTTGGATGAAATCCACTCTGTCACATGTCATATTTAACTCTTTCATGTAAAAGGAGAGGTATCTTGTATGAAAGCCATTGAACAATTACAATTATAATGAGATTTACAATGATGCCATGGAAAGTAGAAGGCTGCTTTGGAAGAGTTCCTAACGGAAATGGATATACGTAGTTTGACTCGTAATGAAACCGTCTTTTATATGTACAATATATATATTGACATGGTCCTCACTAAATTTACAAGTTGATTTTATTTGAACCTGCATTCACACATATCGCCTTGAAAGTGCTCATGTTGTTGCTGTATCAAATTTGCATAGTATTATCGCAAAAACATATTGTTTGGAGCTGATAAGGAGACTGACTTTATAAATCTCTAACCCAACCTCTTTTGATTCTAGCTTACTTATCGGCCTCTAGCCATTTTGAGTTCAAAGCAAAGCATTCTAGGTATTGCATAGGAACATGGATCTTTGGAGCAAATAAGGCCAACTTCACGGTGTGCACGGCCTCTCCACAAACTAAGACGAACTAGAAATGTTATTGAGCGTTCACGTCGGATTCCTCACAAAGCGTCCGTACGTGAGTTTGTTTGATGTCATCATACAGGGCATCAACGAAAATCCAATGAATATTTCGTCTCCAGATCAACCTGTTAACCCAATTACTCTCTTAGGAGCCATATCTAGCAAGAAGCGTATTGGTGTGGAAATACCCTTTCCTCAGTTATGACGAAAAAGCTTGGGTCTGTCCAGTCAATTCTTTGTGGGAAACAATAAGAGTTTCATTGCGAGACATTTATGGAGCATTATGACTACAAATGGGTAGCTAGATCATATCAACATGCAAGTCTCTAGAATAACGCACCAGCTAATTTAACTTTATTTCAATTGGAAATAAGCATTTTTAATCTGAGCTTCTAAGTCTGCAAGAAATGGAGTAATTATTCACGCCAGGGTCTCCAGAAGGACGAAAACGTCTGGTGATACACAGGCTGGACAATCGTAATCTCCAGCCCTCCTGGAATCCCATCACCGTAATAAAATTTAGCTGACACATTCATCACTGGAATCCACAACTTGGAGCTCGGTCATCTAATTCATTTTGCTGCCCGGAAGTTCTTTTAAGCGTAACAACTGCTTCGTGGTGAAAGTGGAAAGTAACCGTACTGGAGGTTGTAAGAGGTTTTGTATACGAACCGAGAGGACCTTAATCTTACGACAGAGAACAGGAAGATTGAATGAGAGAATCATTAGCTGCGAGTCTGTATCGAAGAAGGACGACAGCTATATCAGGTAGGCGAAGTAAGGAAGGGTTAAGGCGTGCAGCTAGAGCTATATACGCTAGAGCACGAAAGGCTGTTGCACGTCAACCGAGCCCGAATTCAACCTGAAGGCAAGAGACAATTGCGGGCACTCACCAGATGCCGATCAGAGAACAGTTGAAGCAGCTGGATTCTAGGAGCATGCACCGTCAGCGCACTTGGGAACAAATCGAAAGCCGAACGTGAACTTCCACGGGCACTTGAATCCACATTCCCCGCAGTTGCTGGTGTCCGATCGAAGGTCCACGCATTTGGAATTACAGCAAGTCTTCCCTGCGGAGCACTTCTTGTTGCACAAGAGACAGTTCTGCTCATCTGAGCTGGTGTCGACGCAGACGCCGTCGCAACAAGTGTATTTGTTGGTCTCGAAGTTGAGGGTCTTGGGCGCGTTCTTGCAGTCAAGGTGGTGCCTGCAGAATTGGACCGGAGGCGCCGGTGAAGGATTTACTGCTGGGACTGGGACGGGAGCTGGTACCGGTGCGGGAACTGGAGCTGGAACGGGAGCGTACACTGGTCTCGAAGCGGGAACTGGAGCTGGAACCGGAGCGGGAGGGGAAGTTTTCGGAGGCGGGTAGGAAGCGTACACTGGTCTCGGAGCGGGAACTGGAGCTGGAGTCGGAGCGGGAGGATACGTTCTCGGCGGCGGGTAGGGAGCGTACACTGGTCTCGGAGCTGGAACTGGAGCTGGAGTCGGAGCCGGAGGATAAGTTCTCGGAGGCGAGTAGGGAGCGTACACTGGTCTCGGGGCGGGAACGGGAGCCGTTTTTGGAGCTACGCCCGTTGTTGGACCTGGAGCTGGAACGGGAGCGTACACTGGTCTGGGAGCGGGAACTGGAGCTGGAGTTGGAGCCGGAGGATAAGTTCTCGGCGGCGGGTAGGGAGCATACACTGGTCTCGGGGCGGGGACGGGCGCCGTTTCTGGAGCTACGCCCTTTGATGGACCTGGAGCTGGAACGGGAGCGTACACTGGTCTCGGAGCTGGAGTTGGAGCTGGAGTTGGAGCCGGAGGATAAGTTCTCGGAGGCGAGTAGGGAGCGTACGCTGGTGTCGGGGCCGGGAAGGGCGCCGCTTCCGGAGCTACGCCCGTTGATGGACCTGGAGCTGGAACGGGAGCGTACACTGGTCTCGGGGCCGGGACGGGCGCCGTTTTTGGAGCTACGCCCGTTGTTGGACCTGGAGCTGGAACGGGAGCGTACACTGGTCTGGGAGCTGGAACTGGAGCTGGAGTTGGAGCCGGAGGATAAGTTCTCGGCGGCGGGTAGGGAGCATACACTGGTCTCGGGGCGGGGACGGGCGCCGTTTCTGGAGCTACGCCCTTTGATGGACCTGGAGCTGGAACGGGAGCGTACACTGGTCTCGGAGCTGGAGTTGGAGCTGGAGTTGGAGCCGGAGGATAAGTTCTCGGAGGCGAGTAGGGAGCGTACGCTGGTGTCGGGGCCGGGAAGGGCGCCGCTTCCGGAGCTACGCCCGTTGATGGACCTGGAGCTGGAACGGGAGCGTACACTGGTCTCGGGGCCGGGACGGGCGCCGTTTTTGGAGCTACGCCCGTTGTTGGACCTGGAGCTGGAACGGGAGCGTACACTGGTCTGGGAGCTGGAACTGGAGCTGGAGTTGGAGCCGGAGGATAAGTTCTCGGCGGCGGGTAGGGAGCATACACTGGTCTCGGGGCGGGGACGGGCGCCGTTTCTGGAGCTACGCCCTTTGATGGACCTGGAGCTGGAACGGGAGCGTACACTGGTCTCGGAGCTGGAGTTGGAGCTGGAGTTGGAGCCGGAGGATAAGTTCTCGGAGGCGAGTAGGGAGCGTACGCTGGTGTCGGGGCCGGGAAGGGCGCCGCTTCCGGAGCTACGCCCGTTGATGGACCTGGAGCTGGAACGGGAGCGTACACTGGTCTCGGGGCCGGGACGGGCGCCGTTTTTGGAGCTACGCCCGTTGTTGGACCTGGAGCTGGAACGGGAGCGTACACTGGTCTGGGAGCTGGAACTGGAGCTGGAGTTGGAGCCGGAGGATAAGTTCTCGGCGGCGGGTAGGGAGCATACACTGGTCTCGGGGCGGGGACGGGCGCCGTTTCTGGAGCTACGCCCTTTGATGGACCTGGAGCTGGAACGGGAGCGTACACTGGTCTCGGAGCGGGAACTCGAGCTGGAGTTGGAGCCGGAGGATAAGTTCTCGGAGGCGAGTAGGGAGCGTACGCTGGTCTCGGGGCCGGGAAGGGCGCCGCTTCCGGAGCTACGCCCGTTGATGGACCTGGAGCTGGAACGGGAGCGTACACTGGTCTCGGAGCTGGAACTGGAGCTGGAGTCGGAGCCGGAGGATAAGTTCTCGGAGGCGAGTAGGGAGCGTACACTGGTCTCGGGGCGGGGACGGGCGCCGTTTCCGGAGCTACGCCCGTTGATGGACCTGGAGCTGGAACGGGAGCGTACACTGGTCTCGGAGCTGGAACTGGAGCTGGAGTCGGAGCCGTAGGATACGTTCTCGGCGGCGGGTAGGGAGCGTACACTGGTCTCGGAGCGGGAACTGGAGCTGGAGTCGGAGCCGGCGGATAAGTTCTCGGCGGCGGGTAGGGAGCGAAGACTGGCCTCGGTGCGGGGACAGGCGCCGTCTCTGGAGCTAGTCCGGTGGCCGGACCTGGCGCCGGAACGGGTGCCGGAGGATACGTTTTCGGAGGCGGGTAGGGAGCGTAGACTGGCCTCGGAGCCGGGACGGGCGCAGGCCTTGGGACTGGAACGAGGGTTGGAGCTGGACCGTCTGGAATGGGTTCACCAGGAGTCGGTGGCGATGGTGGGGAAGCAGGAGTGGGACCAGGAGGAGAAGCTTTGGGAGGGTAGTAGTTGCGAGGCGGAGGAGGCGATTTATGATAATTCGGCCAATTCCAACTTAACAGAGATCTTCCCGTGGTCACGGGTTCTTCCACAACTTCTGCACAAGCTGTCGAAGCGCATATGAGCACCAACACGAATGCAATCATGGAATTCATGATGCTCCTCAGTTCAAGCCCTTTCCACCCGATGAAGACCGTCCCACCCGATGAAGACCGTCGGGGAGCGGTCCAGGCGAAGGACAAGGCTTGAATGAGTGACGCCTTTGAGTTTGAGTTGACGTCTGTGATGTCTTTAAATAAGAGGAAAGGAGGGTAGCAAGGTTCTCGAGGAGTTCAGGGGAGCCAAGAAGGCTGAACCCGAAATCGAACGCGAAACCGATAGTATCAGAGTTCTTGAGCTCGGATCTCATGTCAATGATTCTTGGAAAGTTGACATGCTCAAGGAATCATGACCCAAGACGTGCACGTGAAAATCAAGATATTAAAAGATTGCACTGAATTCGAATACAGCACTCTCGGGATGGAGCTGTTGTACATCTGGCTCCCTTCTCAAGAGAGTACAGCACTCTCGGGATGGAGCTGTTGTACATCTGGCTCCCTTCTCAAGAGAGTTCTGAACTCTACCTTTCAAGGTCTCTGTGCACAACAACAGAGTGAGAGCGTTCCGAATTCACCCCCATGGAGGCTATATCTTCAACTTTTAGCTCGTCATATACCCGAGATTTCAGGCTTTCATGAGGTTCAAGAACAAATTTAATAATGCCAACTGCTAGCTACGATGTTCTACTGGTCTAAATCAAAACGGTCGACCGTTGTATAGTGTTGAGAGTTGCATTTCTACAGTGGGGGATATCATTACCTGTGCCGATGCATTTGTTCTGTGCGTCCTCTCGTGGTCCACTTGTACCTCGTACAGATACAAGGGCATGCTTGTGCACGTCGACGTTAAGGTGATACGATGGCGACCTACAGCGAATGCAAGCATCGATTCTTGCTTGATTCAATTTTATCGTTCACAGCTCTCTGCTTTCTCCCTGCTTTTGGTCTCTTTGTCAAAAGCTGCCTGTAATGAAGTGGTGGACTCAGCTGACGCGACCCTGTCCTACAAATAAAATACGAAAAACTGCTACAGTTATCAGCTGTCAGCCGTAAATGTACGTGGCACGTACAGACACCCTTCTAGATTACATATAGGAAGTATAACAATTATGTACAATCTTCACAATATCAAGAATTGACGCAATTAGACAAGATGTATCGAAAACCAAGGCGCCGAAAGAGAAAGCAAGATACTGCAAAAAACAGGCACGAGGTAGAGTAAATTCCTCTCTTTTGATCGCAGATGCGGAAAGACTGAGATACCTACAAAGAACTTGCGGAACTCTATGGTTTCTTCAGTTTTTGTCACACACATACATTCAAAGCTTTACCCCTTGATTGACGTGGAGCAATGCAATCTAGCAACGGCTGCATGTGATACCATCAAAGAGTGCAGATTCATCACACGTACAATGTTCCAAGAGATACATGCTTCTAACTGACGACTTATTAGGCTTATGCGTGGGCAAGCTTAATATTCCACGTAGTATCTGTACTGTACTTGAACCAGGGTTCAAGTACACGTTCAGACAAGCTGTACTCATGCGCAGTAAATAATTATGAATCTCGTTCTGACTTCTCTTGCTGCTTGAAAACCTTGTGAACTGTGATGTATACATCAAGTCTCAATATCCTACCCCGACGCAAATTTCACGTTATTTCACGAGGCCAACGGTTAAAGGGAATCTTCAAGGTTGTTCTCTCCCTCTACTCCTACACACAGAGGAGCAATCCAGGGAACCGAGGCAACTTAATTTCATTGTGCTTGATACATCTGAAATATAACTTTTTCTTGCCAAATTGACATCGCTATTTGCCCTCGTGGATGTAGTCAGCAGATTTTCGACTAGGCAGTAGTACCATTCAGGCATCCACGCATGATTGATTGGCGATCTTGCTAGCTGCCACGTGCAAATCAGGAGGAGATAGGATCCGGTTGCAGACAGCAATGTTTCTAAACATCGACTTTACTCAGATCCCTCGTCATGAAAGTGTTGATTTAGGTTGACATGTCATATGAATTACTGTTGAGATGCTTTCCAAAACGGGAGCCGACTGAGAAAAAGACAACTGAGGGAAAGACCCAATACTGAAAAGAGTTTCTAGGTTTATCGGGAGTGAATTTGTTGGTATTTCTTGTAGGACTTCAGATAACAGAGTAGAATAAGAGAGATGTGACAGGGCGAATTCATGTTAGCGAAGATCTCTGTGTTGTGGCGTTGCAGCGGTGGAATCGCACCTGCCGCTGGGCCCTGCTCTGACTCTCTTCTCCATCAATATGACGATATTGATGGCGCTATTATGCGAACGTTGTATGCTCAACTTCACAGGTACTTTGAATGACAGGGGCTGCTCCGAAGAGTTTTAGCAACGACAGAGCAAGGCTGTGGATAAGTTCACCATAAACTCCTAATTCCAGGAACAACATCATGGTCTTCACTATCACATGCAGCAGAAGAAATGTTTGGATCATGACAGGCCCCGAGCAGCATTGCTGAGTCGAAAATCAACTGGACCCCAACTTCGCCTACATTGGAAAGGGAACATCATGGGGACCTTGTTGAGCCTTGGCGCCACCTCGGCGAGTACAGAAACAGTGGAGCTTACAGCATGAGAGTTTAGCTAGAGACGAGTTAGTATTGCATCGTCTTCACACAAATTAATAATTAACCATGTGTGGCGCATTTTCCTTAACATTCTATTCATAATCGACTCATGTTGAACCTTTTATACTACTCCAGTATAGGAGAATATCTAAAGCATCTCTCCTCAATAAAATGATTACCGTGCACTTGCATTGGTATCCTTTGGTTGGCTAATTCAGCAACAGACAAGTTAATAATGTCCCATAATACTTCATGAACTCTTAAACCGACTCGTGTTATCATTTGTATAACAATTATCGAAAATAAGCCATACAAACGCGTACGCAGAACACATAAAGATCGCAATAATAGATATGGAACCTTGAGTTACGTGGCAACATTCACATTGAAAACACAACATGATAATTGAAGAGATTGTGAATATTTTCAAATTGAATCTACTAGAAAGAATTATGTTATCAAAGTAACATTACCCCTATGTTCTTGAACTTCAATTATTCTTTAGACTGTCATTTAGATTAACAAGGTTTTTAAATTAAGATATGCATATGTATTGATGAATATAATACCATATAAAATTACGCAACCCTCTCATACTCTCGTCTTTCCGGGGACATCGATAAAATTAGAACGATATAGAGAAGATTAGCATGGCCCCTGTGCAAGGATAACACTCACAAATCGAGAAAAGGTCCATATTCCAACAAACAAACTTGAACTTTAAGTTCAAATTTATACATTTGCTAGATGGTCAATCAAGTTACAACATTATGAGATATACGTGAAGTATTACATGGCTAGAAAAACATGAGTTTCGAATCAGTAACAAGGTCATCTAAGGAGCATCATGTGATGTGAAGGTACGTGCCAAACAACTGCGAACTTGTCCAAGAAAACTAAGAACATACAAGATGCTCATCGCTTACAATTGGAGCATAAATACATGTCAATCATCAGATCCAGGGGAGCAAAACTTTGATCTATGATTTCGTAATATTCAATTTCATCCGGGTATCTTGTAACCCCAAGCTCATAATATTATCCTTAAAAGTCAATTTGAAAACCTTGAGGCAGCTGCTTTAATTAAGATCATAACTATTGCGCATTCAATTGTTAGAGCATAGTATGATTGATGGCAACGCATGGAACTAAGACACATAGCCAACTAAGCTCTAACCGTTGTAACTAAACAACACATTCAAACTTGTCATAATTGTGACTTATCTAGATTTATACGGCTTTAGATGACAATGAAAAGCCTATAAGAAGACATTCTTGATGCTACAAGATTCAAGACAAACTAATCCTAGTCCAAAAGGTTAGATAATTTTTTATATTGGAAAAGATATTTTGCTTTCGTCTTTCTCTAGACTAGTGTAAGATTTCTGCCAATTCTCTTCCTAGAATTAGATCAGGTCAGAACCCCAATTAACATCTTATTTAAACATAATCAACATGATTTGTTAGAAGTGTTTACTATTGCTGCAGAATTAAACATATACAAAATTATAATTCAACGAAATCAGATTTCAATTATTATTATCAATGTTAGGTATATCTAAATGACATTTCGGACATAATCCAAATAACTACAAGTCTCTTGAATAAAATTTTTACAAAGTTTTGATTATTTTATATTATTTTATCATTAGTAGAAAGAAGAAAAAAGATGTTAAACAATGAATATGTTTTGATATTCAATGTATAAATCTTCCGCGTCGTAATGTTGTGGTTAGCTAGGATGATATTATGGTAGAGAAAAACTTTTGGAGAAAGATAAGCACATGGCTGAATGCATAAAGATTATTGTCTTTTAATCAGAACTTTGAAATCATTATAAACTACCTCATAGTTATGCATATGTTTCCATACATGACTGCATTCCTAAACTACATGATAGTCATGTGAGGCTTAATCGCGATCAATCTCTTTGGGTCTGCATCAGATAGCACTTCCGAGCTCATCTGTGTTTTATCCCCGCGCATATCATTTTTAAAGTAAAATCAATAAACCCACAAGGATGATTAAGTCGCTTCAGAAACTGACGAAACTATTGTGAATTTACTTGTCAAGGACGACCCAAGTCGCTTGCAAAGACTCCGCTTGCTATGTTACGACATGCTTGGTCGCTCCTGCTGCTATTTTGACGTCAAGATTAACTGACATGACCAGTCCATGCACATGTGAGAATGAAGTCAAAGGAAACTAATCATTCTGCTGGACTCTCAGACTTCCGATTAAACCAAATGCTAGACCTCCACAAAGAGCTTAACAAGAAAAAAGTTTTTAAGAACCAAGAAAATTGGGTGCGTTGATTGGACCCGGCATACGGATAGAGTTGGCTAGTGATACATCAATCTTCCGTCTTCCCTATCGATATAGTGATATGAAAATAGACTTAATTCAAAGTCACATGTTGGAGTTAGTTGAGGCTGGATTAGTGAAGTTGTTGCTTGGTGAGTATGCGTCAGCCACTGTCATGCCGATGAAGAAGGATGTACATAGCAACTATACGGATATGCGCATGTGTGAAATCTATCAATCGGCAGACGAATTCCGATAAGTATGGCATGCCTACACCTTAGGAGATCTTCGATGTGGTGGGACATACGAGAATTTTTAGTACTTTGCATCTTCAGCCAAAAAACCATCAGTTGCCGATTTGAAAAGAATACAAGGCCAAGATAGCATTTTGGGGCGTCAACTCCCACGACAAAGATTGTTTGTATCAGAGACGATTCCTGCCTTTTGGGTTGAAGAATGCAACTGCCGAGTTTCAGAGTGTTATGGACATGATCCTATCGGGGGTGGATTTTGTCAGATGTTGCATTGATGATAGTTTGGTGTTTAGCGACATAGTGGAGCAGCACTAGATACATTTGCAGATCGTGCTTGAGCAGTTGAGGGCTTACATCTTGGTAAGTGTAAGTTCTTCCAAAAGAAGGTTTAATACTTGGATCATGAGATCTACCCATGTGGTTTGGGAGTTGAGCAAGCAAAGGTGAAGACTATTGAACGCATTACTCGTCCAGCAGATGTGAGTAGAGTTTGTGCATTCATGGGTTTGGCGAACTATTACCGGAGGTATGTGAAGGGCTTCAGTGCTATCTCCAAGCCTTTGAACTAGCTGCTGAAGTCGGATCAGAAGCGGCAATGGAAAGATGAACAAGAGAGAGCTTTTGTTGAGCTCAAGGCCAAGTTGGTGGCTGCTCCCATCTTGAGAAGATCTATCAGAGGTCGCCCATTCCAGTTGCACACTGATTAGAGTATATTGGAACTTGAAGCGGTGTGACGCAGCGTGATGATGAGGGCAAGGAGTTTGTGTTTGCGTATGCTAGTCGTTCGAACAATGCACCGGAGTCAAGGTATAGTTCCTACGAGGGAGAGTGTTTGGCAACGGTGTGGACTGTGGCACACTTCATGTGTTATTTGTTTGGTATGTAATTTACCCTTGTTAGTGATCATCAGTCGCTCAAATGATTGATGGAGTCCGACAAGCTCACAGGGAAGCTTGCACGGTGGGCTTTCATCTTACAGGAGTACGATTTTCAGGTGGTGCATCGAACTGGAGTTGCGAACTTGGATGTCGATGGTTTGAGTCGGAACCCATGCACTAACCAGGAGGATGACACTAGAGCAAGATGGCATGGTGAGGTTGATGAGGAGATGGTGCTCAATTGGCATGCATCTGCCTTTATGTGTTGGTTATTCGAACCTCTTGTAGAGATGATCACTTGACATCTTACTCTAGTAAGAGAGTGGATAGTCAATCTTTGGATCCTGAGGTTAAGAATGGTGGTATGGATCAGCGTGATGTTCACGATGATGCGTTGGTTTTGGAGTTCATACGGACCAATTTGATGTCAGGCACAATGGGTGCCAAAGAACGAGATAGTGTTTTCTATCGGGCGAAGAGATAACGATTCGAGGGATCACATGTTCTCCTAATGTGTGAGAACAATAGAGTACGAATAGTACCGCATATAGCTTAAAGAGCGCACATTGTGAGGCATACTCATTAGGAGTTGGGACATTTTGGAGTGCAGCGTACATATAACTTACTCCTTGGTCAGTATTGGTGGCGTGGTATCCATACGCAACTACAGCAGTTGGTATCACATTGCATGATTTGTGATCGAGTGAGGGCATCGTTCAATGCCCCGACACCAGAGTTACATCCTTTACTTATCATGGCTGGCCATGGAATATCGATTAAGTCGTCAAGCATCCTTGGCTTTGATCTCACCATATTTTCTATTGTACGGCCGAGATCCAGACTTGCTGGCAAGGATTTGTCGTGAGTCTAATGAGGTGAAGAACCTTGATGATCGAGACATGTGGATGAGAGTGTGTTTTCAATGTGCAGCGTTCTTTCGGAGAGTTATGCCTGCAGCGTTTGAAAACCTTGCGATTGCTCGGCATAGGGATACGTTGCGATATGCAACCATCCAGGGAGGAGGTTATCGATCATCGATTCATGTGTGGGACACTACGTCTATTTAGAACAGACTGCACCGACAACATTAGATGTAACAGCAGGACACACTATCTTGCGAGTGCGGGAGGTGTCACCTTTTGGAGTTCTTATCTTGGAGGGTTGTGTCTGTGTTGTTTGGAAGTATCATGTGCGTCATGTCACCTTCTAAATGTGGATGACACTATGGATCCAAGCTTGGCAATTGTACGTGTCGGCTTGAGGTGTATATTATGTGGATCAACTGATCAAACGACCAATATGTTGATGTGTGATAAGTGTTCTAGAGGATGACACATGTCGTGTAGTCCTATAACGTTTCAAAACACATTAACCACATTAATGGGACCATCAAGTATCACTTTACCAGAGGTATATCATCGATGGTGCAATGCAACCAAGTTCTAAAATATGCGGATAGTGATTTCTAACTTAGAGTGCGGACAACAACCCATCACAAACCCCTAAACCCTACAGTCTAGCGATCAAAAAAATGCGCGGAAATTCCAAAAATGAAGTGCTCCACGATAGTGGGTAAAAACAGCGGGTGAAATTATCGTCTCGATGCACAAGGAGTAGTCAAACGCGAGCAGGTCTACTCGACAAGCAAGTCTGATCCTCGCTTCGTTCTCCGGTCTCGAACTCGATGGGCAACTGATAAATGTATGATCGAGCGAACGGACATGACATCGTCGTAATCTATCCATCCAGTCTGCGTTCGATGAAGTCATATGGCGTAGCATGTGATTCTTCCGAAAACAAAAAGGGGACACAAGCCCGAGCGAAGTGAAAGATTTGAGACATGAATCGTTCGATGAAGTCATATGGCGAAGCATGTGATTCTTCCGAAAACAAAAAGGGGACACAAGCCCGAGCCCAGTGAAAGATTTGAGACATGAATGAATGAGTGACTGCATATGCGTTTATCTTTTTCCCCAAGAGCATCACACACTATAGCCCGCAGCATAGAGTTATAAGACATTTGTTTAGAACTCGGTCCTTCCAATAAAATGATACTTGATGGGTCCCATCAAGTATTGGTTTTGAAGGGGTCTTATCAAGTACCTCACTCCAATTTATTTACTATTTCATCTATGGCTATTTAAGATGACAATATTGTCATTTTCGTGGTTTACGGTGGCTTAAGAGTATTGACAAGTCACTGCGACACCGCCATAATTGCAAGCTTCTGTAAACATTCAGTGTTGGGAGTTCACTGTTACACTTCTAACCTTCACCTTGTCCTACGATCTACGGTTATTTAAAATCACCGGTTTAGAGAAATTCCAAAGATGTCTTCACTGGTGTTCTCGTGTATAAGAAGTCGGGAAGGTTTACTGTTCATAATGAGATATACTACTACTCATGTGATCTAATTAGTCTCGTTAGTTTGTCTGCGCCATAGTAGAAAACCAGGAATTTTATATGTACTAAGTTGATCTCGTGTGTATTATCTGAGATAGCGTTCTATCCAACAATTGTTACTCTTATATATCTGCGTTTAGACCGTGTGATGTGAATGTTACTGCCCCCGTTTGGTTTTGCTCCATAGAAGCTGGTCACGTATAGTCCACATGTACAAACTGATTGAGTAGGCTTCACGGGAAGTCATGGACATCACCACCAAGCGCTGGGATAGAAAGTATTTACTGTAAACTCAATATGTCAAAAAAATTGGAGCTTCGTCAGCTCTGGCAGCCAAGAATACCAAAAGCAATACATATTGAAGATTTTAAAACCTTGTGCTCATCCAAATTGCAAGAAAAAAAATGAGTTTTTTCCTGCTTGTAAGCCCGGCTAAAGTGGAACATCTGTCCATCGAACACATCAAAGCTAGTCTTCCATCTGATGTCGGTATACGGGGCACTGAGCAAATATGCTGACACTATCTAAAGCTACACCCACAGTATTTGCACGTCTAATGGTTGCACGAATCTGAAGAATGCTCAGCCCCAATGTGATGAACTATAGACAACAAAATGCGGAATAAATGAAAGCTACGGCTTGTTAGTTGACCCCGCTAGTTGAAGCTTGTTGAGATGAGGCTCACCTGAATTTAACAAAGACCTGGATTTCCTGCCTAGACCTATCTTACCTTTTTATTTTACATATTGAACAGATTCACAAGACGGTTATTAATCATCTACGACTTGTGTTTCGCCTCAATCCAGGAGAACGGACACTAGTTTCCGAAGCCATCCCAGATTTTGCTCCATTCGCTGGCACCGCCTTTTCGTCCTTTGTGGCCACAGACGCCGCTGCTTTGATTCTCCGCTGTACGTCCTCTGCATATCTGCGCCACCATGATTCACGATCTCTTCGTGGCATCTTCCCATAACGGGGATCAGGCTTAAGAAGCTTCTTCGCATCGGACCACGATGTTAGGATATGCTTATCCTCTTCAGCAAGTTTTTGAGCTGCATCAATAGTTATTACATCCGCAAGCAGTAATCTGTATTCTCGTACAAGGCGCTGCACAATAGGGCACACCTACATGTTAAATCTTAAGAAAACACAGCCGACCCTCTCAACCCAGAAATCGCTAGAACTCTCAAATGCTTCAAAATGAGAACTGAAATCCTACCTTCAAAGCCTTCCCTCATCTAACTACCAACATCTTTGAAAAGAAGGGTGAGCCCAAAAGCACTCTAATTGTTCAATGAGCAAGCCTTACATCAAAAATCTCGTTCACATGTTCCCGGAAAAGTCTCTCGCGATCAGAGAGATCTAGTTCAGAGTTCGTTGCCCGCCCAAGAGGATCCTTTTCCAATTTTGGTCTTGCTTCGGTCCAGGAAGCCTGAGAAGAAACCAAGAGACTCGATGATAAATGAGCTAAATCATGACTCCAACAGAAAAGAAGAAAAAGCACTTGTAAAATGATTGCGTGATAGTGAAGATAGTACATTCCTCCCTTAGTGACATTGAGGTTAAACTCTTTCTTTATATATTTCGTTGTGCGTGTAATCCTCCTATCTAAAAAGATGACATAAACATCTTAGTAGAGAAACTGAGTGAGGAAAATTTGAGTTTACCTCCGGATCTTTTATCTTCTCGGTTAGAAGAGCCTGGTAGGACGTAACGGCGTCTTTGCGCCTCGCTTTGGCTCGAACTCTGTCCATCTCCTGTTCTTCTCTTTCTTTACGTTTCCGCAGTTCTCTTTCCCTCTCCTTCAGTTTTTCCTGATAAGACGGAATCCGCCTTGGTAAGTGCAGATTCAAACATGATGAAGAGCATAAACCCTTCAATGACTTAGTTGATTTTGCTCCACTAAAACTTTTGCAGTAACAGCAAGTAACAGATTCCTCGCATGCCCCTATACTCATTCCTATAACTTGACACTTCTAACAAACCCTGACGTGAGCTATCCTTTAGCGAGAGAAAAATGCTGCACCTCCTCCTCTCTCTTAGCCTTGGCTGCCCGCTCGGCTTCCTGTTCCGCAGAATGCAATTCAGATATGTAGGCAAGGAATAAACCCTCCCTCTCTTCTCGCTTTACAGCAATATATCTTGGATCATTACGTACAATCTCCCGAATCTGAAAAACATATCCACAAATAGGAATAATAACCACATGCAAAAAGCAGATTATCGCATTTTCAAAATTGTCAATTCAGGTTCCTGTCCCAAATGGATAATATATTGGAATTGGAAAAACTCTCCTCCCCTCCTTGCAGTACATCCAATTAATATAAAGCCTGCATATTGTAAAGATGTTAACGGTGCTTCCGGTTTCTGATTTGCTACTGCGCCTGTGCAACTGAAAGCATTGCTTCTCGACCAAAACACTCCATAGGAGAGTACTTGAAAGAGGAAAGGGACGGACAACAACCGACACGACTGTTACAATACAGGACTGGCCACTAGATCAGAACGGGTTTGATGTGGTGTATACAAGATCACCAGAATACGAAGTCCCATTTGAAAACTTTTCGCTCACATCATGTTGCCAGGAATCAAAATCTGCACATGAAGTAGAACGTACTTTAGACCAGCGGCTGCTTGTATTTATATCGGCCCTCTCCAGGAGCATTGCTTTAAAAGCTCCAACCGCAGCAGCATGCTCAGCTTTGACCCTTTCGTCCTCGGCTCTTCTAAGCGGCAGCACTCTGCAAACGATTTGATTAAAAAAGGTCACCGTCTGCCAACAGCACGGTTTCACGTTGACAAGATTGCTTCTACTTAAGATCCAGCCTACAGTGAAGGTAGTTTGCCAGTAGTGTCTCGTTGAAGGGTCAGGAACGGCTACACGGCCTCCTACTTTCAAAAAGATAGATCTTCATGTCCGAGTTCCAGAGGCAAGTTTGCAAGAACTGCATAATTAAGTCCACAGGTCCTCATTTCATCTCATTCACAATGCACTAAATATGTTCAAGATGTTTAGCAGTGAGTTGACAACCTAGGTGAAATTTACGAGGGGACATAAGATACAGAATAAGGGTGTTTGTCCGCTCCTCTTGACAAGACTACTTCATAACAGAAGCTACAAAAAGAGTTACCTTCACTGTTGGTTTTACCCACGCCAACTATGACCAATATGACACGAAATTGAAGAATTGCCAGCATTGTTAACACAATGATAAAGGCAACAGCTCCAGTTTGAGTAAACCAAAGAATAACACAAAGTATTGTTGGAACCGACGGAAGGGAGGCCCAGCATGAAGCTGCACTCGAAATCTCATGGAATCAGTCAGTGGTACGCGACTGGTGAACTGGTAGCAGGAAGGCAGCAAAAAAGGAAACTATACCTGTAGCCAAATATGCCTCGGCGAATCGCAAAGTGGGACAGGGTTCATCACCTTGGAATCCCAAACATGTCTTATCAACCACATGAACATTAAGCAACACCCGATGTCAGCCATCCACAAAATCAATGGCCGCTTGTTAATCAACTTCAATGATCTTGCTTCACACAGTTCTTTCGTGTCAGCTGAGCCTTTCGACCCTCTCTAATCCCAGAACTGGCCTTTACATGTACGATTTCTCGGCATGATGCCACCAACACTCATGGCGTAATCAAATTCCGGGTCATTTTTCATAAGATGAACCCTAATGGGCTTGTAGCAATCCAGAGGGGCAAATGCAGACGTTACTATCTTCGAATGGCAGTGACCACACTGAAGACTAAAAAGATATCTCTAGGAGGACAACTAGTATCTCCCTCGTCTAATGTAAAGCTTTTCCAGACACATACCTTTCATTCAAGAAAGTCTCACGATCTTTCCGCTCCAAAGCCTCAAAACGAGGATCTTCACCCCAGGTTCTAGCAAAGTTCTCATAAGTTGTATGGTAGCTCAATTCCTGCAAGCAATTCAACAGTGACCAGTTTAAAAGAATCAAGTCAACTGATGGTACCGGAAGCGCAAAAGGACGGGACCGACAGCGTTGACACCCCATGAACCAGCGTCCAAGACATTTTCTACTTCCGCTTTCGGTCCATAAAAAAAGACCTGAGAACCGTTCTGAGGCACTGAATGAAATGGTACAGCCTATCAGATGTTGAAAATTACAAAAAAATCCACTGATTACTGCTCTCTAACCTTAAATTTCTCTTTCTATCTAGAAGTGAATATATAACCAGTCAAGAACCCACATTTCGTATTCTTCTTATGTCCATCAAACGCGGATAGATACTCTACGAGAAGGAAGCAGACACTAAACACAAATGGAGGCCAAAGAGTCAAAGCAATTGCAAGGAAATGCGTATATCCCACACAAAGCACTTGGTTTAGAGTAACAACCATGCAAAATATGCACGCCACCGGAAGAGCTTCCAAGGCTAATAGTTAGAAAAAGTCATTCTTGCACAACCATGGCACAACTTCCAGACCTTTGCTGCCTCCTCGAGTAACTGCTTGAAGCCCTCAACTGCAGCTTTTTGAGCAGCTCGCTTCTCCTTCCGTTCTTCGTCTGCTCGAGTACGCACGTAATGCTCAAACATTGAGCGACGCTCAGTGTGGCTTGGTATAGCCTGTAGAATAGGATGTGACACCTATCAGATAAGTATGAAGTACATGAAAAGCGACATCTCAATCATTTTCAGAGATAACTGATACACAGGTATCACATCAATATACTACACGTACCTTGAACCGAACATCAAAAATGATCTTCGGTAGCTCTTTCTCCCACTTAGAGAAAGGAGCAATACCCTTCTCCTTCAACATTTCCTGTTACAACACCCACCATACGATTATTCTGTGAAGTAGGGCCAAATTTTAATATTTCACGAAGATTCCAGATCATCACTTCTCAGAATGCTGAGCACTTGCTCAGGACAACCTGGAGGAATTTTCAATCTTAACAAGTTAAAGAGTATGATACCCTTTTAACAACGATGTGATGTTCATTTGACTCATCTAAATTCGGTTGTTTATTCTCAAGAAAGAAAATATTTGATTACAACCTTCCTCCTTAACGCAAGGATATAACCAAATGCAAGAGACCTCATCAATCACCTTGAATTGTACAACACGCTCTTCTTTCGTTGGCCCTGGGTCTTCCTCATCACTGTCTGACGAGGAGTCAGAAGAAACCGACTCGACATTGTTTCCCTTCGGTTTGTCCTTGGTACTCTCAGCTTTGCCATTAAGAGAATCCAAGTTTGAAGTAGTGATAACTGATGTGGAACCACTGCCAGGAGGAACGGGAGATGATACAACTGGAGCCCCGGGATCCTGCAGCTTTTTTTTTATGAGATCTAGAGCAGAGTTTCCCACTACTCCCTTGTGTCCAATAGCTTCTCGTCCACCTGTTGCTGCCGCAGGAATATTGAGACTAAAAGAAACAATGCTCTTCTCGGCTGTAGTGCCAGGAGCTGCAACAACCTCTGTGCTGGACTTTAAAGCTACTTCTTCGGCTTGCTTCTTACGAAATTCTGCGACTTCACTCGGAACTTGCCAGCTTGTGGCCTGTGAGGACAATTGCGTACAAAGTTAGAGTAGACCCAGGTCCATAAATTTTCGTCTATTAGCTCGTGGGCAAATGTGCATAAACTAATACAGTAACAGTACGCCATAATCATTCTTCAGCAGCATCACCTTTTTCAAAGGTCAAACGGTAAAATGCTCTTTTGGGACATACTTTCCTCTTTAGACATACAGACCAAACAATTCTAGAAATGTTATCCCGTGGTTTCAAGAAACTCATTGGATTGACTTATACCTGAGTTTTGGTGTTGTAATAATACTTCTTGCCATCGTTGGTCGTCACCAACGCCCAATCGGTTCCGTTCAACCTTTCCCTGCAAACGTAACAACTAACTAAAACACGATATTTTCAACAAACAACTACCTCATCCGCACTCTCTGCAGATAAGAGTAATATCTCCTAAGGTGGTGTATCAAGGTCATTTGTCGGGCTAACAAATCCTCAAAATCAGCACAATATAGTAAGACATGGATAGAATATGCCGAGGAAAAATCTCTACAGTTGTCTTCGAACGATGGACTGGAACTTGGGGTGAGTATGTTTGATATCAACTGGGAAAATGACTCACCAAGAAACGGGAGTTGGCTGGGCAGTAACTTTTTCTGCCTGCACAGTCAAAAAGATAAATTACATCTCCATAAGTCCCTCTGATGCAGATAGCAATTCATAGCAGTTTCATACAGCTTGGATTACGATAGTAAACCCCGCTCCCATTTAGTAAAAGCAAGGTGACCATCTGCAATGCAGTCCATGGAATACTAACCTCGCCTATGAAGCTTGCCGGTTTGTCATAGGTTGATCTGCCTGTAACTGAATTGTAGTAATAAACCGCACCATCTGCCGTTTTATGGGCTGTCCATGCATCGGGTGCAGCAGCGGTTTCACTTTGCGTTCTCTTGTCCGATGAGTCAAGTGATCCTGGATCGGATACTGGCACTAAGTTGACCATATTATTTGATTCCAACCCTGGAGGTCTTCCAAGTGGACCAACAGAGGCATCTTTACCAGGAAAGGGCAAAACCAAAGACCCATTGTAGGGAGCAGGATGTCCCCACATTTTTGCAGCCTGATTGCCCAGGCCTGGTGCAAGAGATGGATCACCTCCAGAGCTATACTGTACACCAATATGAGGTGCTACTTTCCCACCTGACATGTCTTGAGAAAGTCCAATCGGATGGTGACTAGCGTAAGGCATAGGGTAATTGGACTGAAAGCCTCCATAGGCTGGACGTTGCTGCATTTGAACTGTTTGTTGTGGTGCAGACATCCAGGGTCCCATAGAAGGTGGAACAGGACCTCCAGGATAAGTTTGATAATGAGGTGGTTGTGTCAAGGGTGCAGATGCAGGTGGTCCAGGTTGATTGACCACAGGAGTTGGTGCAGATGAAGGCATTGAAGTCCGATTCACGAGTGGATTTTCTGTTGAAGACCGAACAACCCCCGGTGCAGATGGAGGCGTTGGCGTAGAGCCAGGAACAGGAGGCTGCCATCTATTTCCTTGAAATGTACCCATCGGAGGACCATAAGCAGGCATAGGTTGCATAGGAAGTGGGGCATAAGGACCTGACTGCAATATCGCAGGAGAAGAGCCCTGTAGAGCCACAACCAACACAAACGTCAACAACCAAAAGCTGCAAAGTAAACATTCAGCGTTTGTAACTTGATGAGCCTTGATTTCCGTCTTGAATAGCAAGGTCCGATGAAGATGGACACATTGGACGACCAAAACCATGCAAGTAAGGCCTACATAATCATCACTCTTAGTCTGTGAGTGTTTTCTACAGATTGGGAATTGCATTAGCGTCGCATAAATCTACACTCAAAATTTTGTGGCAGGGACTTACAGGCGGTAATGGTGGAGGGGGTTGATTTGGAGTTCCAGATCCGCTCATCTGATTAGGGCTCCTGTAGGGCTGAGAGGGAGACGGCTGCGCATAATTAGTTTGCTGAGACCCTGACGGCGGTCCAGAAGGTGGTCCATATGGAGGCCTGGGTAGTTGAACCTGATTGTTGCTCGTACCTGGAGCACCCCAATAGCTCTGTGGCACAGGAACTGCAGTTTGTTGTGACCCAGCTGGAGGGGGCACTGGCCTTGTTTGCCAAGTAGGGGTTGCCATATCCTACACCTGCATACATCCGCAGATTCAACACGAATTTGATATTGATACAGTAGAAGATCTAAAGAAACGCAGAATTGCCAGACAGTCACAAAACCATGGCATTTATTTTCAATTTTAGCTGACATTCTCAATGCTTGCAGAAATTTAAATCGGAGGTCAAGATAACTCATTTCAAACCGGGAAAAATGCCGAATAATCAAATCGCAAATCAGGATAATCTGTAACATGTTCTAATAACTTTCGGGTTGATGCTTATATCTTTGTTATTTACGTTGATTGAGTTTCAAAGATGGAAAACAACTTTGTGCAGAGCTCAATTCCAAATCAGGGAGTTTCATTCAATTTCTTTGCAATCTCAATTGCCATACACAAAGCGGTATTTCTACTCAGATACATTTCATGTGACCGAGGGGAAAACAAATCACGAATTGAAAGAGAAGGCAACCGAAAATTTTTGTTCAACTGTAAAGAGTGTATTTTTGAACTCTGAGATTCATATTCTGCTTGCATGTGATTAGAGAAAAAAATTAGAATCAGAGATTCGTAGAAGATAGTTGTTAGTTGAAGACCGACTCTAGAAAATCACGAAACTAAGGTCAAACTCACACCTGAAGGACATATTACTGTGAAAACTTACAGAACATTAAGAGAAACAATGTGTTTTTTAAAAAAACTCAAAATTTGAAGTTGCGACTCGCAAGTTTTCAATTACTTCTATAGCTAAATCGTAGAGTTCACACTACGAGGAAAAACCCTAAGAAGAACCGACATACACACCACACAGAAGAACAGCCCATGAACTTTTATTTGCAGTGATCAATTCCAAACAATGTTCCGACGCACAGTTCTCAGAACGCGCATACGGGGAACACTAGAAGGCAGAATCTTGATTTAAATTTCACATGTTTCAAAATTACCTTTCCGACTCAAAGCGAAATCACATAATCAGATGCCGAGCGAAATGGAACGTGCAACCTCACCTAGATTTGCTCAATACTGTGGGAGACCATGCAGAACAGAGGAAGAGCCCTCCACGGCAGTTTTACCTAGCAGATGATAACCACGATATGTCGTCTGAAAGTAAACTGCCTACTTCGATCGAGAGAAGAATCTACAAACAAGAACTGTCTTCAACGTCCTACGATCAAGAAACATTTGGAGTATTATCCCGACGAGCAACCTAAGCACTAACGGGTGGGTGACTTGGTGGCTGCCTCGATGGATGGATGGGTTCGAGGACAGAGTGAAGTGTGAGAATACAGTATATGCGAGCTTTGAGCGCAGACGGAGGGATCTCTACAGCTGGACAATTTGAAGTGTATTGAATGACATGGACATAGGAGAATGACAGATAGACGACACTAAATGACTCTTCAACATATACCTAGTAATACAGCAAAACGGAGGAAAGAATCATGAATTCCTATTTGAAATCAAACAATTAACATGGTGTTAGGAACTTATCTCTTCATTGATAGATGTGTACTATTCTACCAAAAAAATCAATTGCCTCCCAGTGACAAAAAATACTTCATGAGAATATGAACAAGCATGATAAACTGCTGCATATACGACATCAACTACCAATCTTCGTTATTATGAACTTTCAAGTGTAACTTAGGGTAACAACTAAATTGGATTTTAGTCTCTTGGCAACCAATGTTTGTTTTCTCAACTTATTTTCCTCTTGCTTCAATCTTTTCCTTTGTCAACTTATGGATCTATGAAATATATTATATCTCCTGAAGAGATTTTCAACTTACATTACCCTAAATTTGATTGAATATATTGTGTTATCATAAATTGATTCCTCTCATGTCAATTATTTCTTAGCCAACTGATTATGCGCAATTACAATATTTTTTCATTTTTAAATGTCACATCGCATCTCTTCTAACACTTTTGAAATGATCCTTTTCTCTGTTGTGTTTATTTTTATTTTATTTATTTATTTATTATTATTATTGAAAAAAACCAATGCCACTGCAATGGACATTGTTAGAAGCACTTGATATCGCACATGTTACTTTCCAGTAAAAATAGATAAATTACCTTTAATTAGAAACTATAAACCAGATTGAAAGTAGCTTATTTACATAGCAAAGATTTGATATAAACATACGCAAATCTCATAAGAAAAAAAATACGCCTTTGAACTAAATTGTATTCAAATTGTAGAAAGAAAATGATAGTTAAAGTCTAAATATCAAACTAAGCTATAATCATACTAATATTTCTTTAACTCATGTGAAGATTCATAATTTTGTGACAAAATACTCAAGACTTACTCAAAGTTATAACTTGATACTTTAAAAAATACCCTTGTATATTTTAAATCTACTAAATATCGTAAACATAGGAAACTGAATTTAATTCATCATTATATTGATTGATTATGGATATTTAATATTAAATTTCTGTATAAATAAAATTTATAATATGATAGACATGAAAAGTTTGTTCATATGACAAAATATAGGGTTTTTTATATTTAAAATAATAATTAATCCCATGATTTTGAATTTAAGCACAATGAACTATTGAAAAATTACAATTTTTGATCATCTTACTTTGACAATATGTTTAAAAATTTAAGACTTCACAAAAATTAAACATAATGCAAATCTATAACTTGAAAATTCCAATATAATTTATAATTCAAAATCTAAAAATTACAGTGTTTTGTAATAATAATTTTTAAGGAATACTTATACTAGAATATAGCTCTTTATTAAATATTTGTTTTTGATTAATCGTCTTCAATCTCAAGATTAATTTTTTAAAATTAATCATTAATTTCACGTTCATAATGTAATCAAATCAATTTTTGACTTTTGGCCGTTTTCATATAGGTGAGTGTCTAGATTCCAAACGCTATTCAAGCGATTTCACAAGCAAATAATACGTGGTTGATGAATTTTTAGATTAAGGTTACAAATTGAATCTGTTGTCTATATCTTGCATTTATAAATTTAAGATTCATCACTCACAGACGTTGCAGAGGATGTAGAAGTATAATTCGTCATAAATACCTACAATATAGAGAACATATACCTTAATTAAGGTGACAGTGATCTGAATAAATTTTGGCAACTATCACACACCAGAGTAAATTATTTGATGGAATCATATCTGAAAACAATTTACTTACTAGATTTCATCAAGATTTCTTTTATCCGATAGGATCCCAACAACGGCCGCGTCACCTATGTTGACTCAACAGTGACAATGAGTATGATCGAGCAACAACTTGCATAGGAGTAACAAGCTGGAGCAAAGGCCGCGTATCAAAGATACTTTCGTTTCAGTGAAATTATATGAAAGTTGAAAAGAACCTTTGAGTGCTCACAGACAAATCAGGTTTGTGCAGGTTATATAAAAATAAACTAATCATGAAGACTTGTTATCCAATTATTTTAAATCTTCCACATTCTGAATTTTGTGACTGAAATAAAATTCTTTTGTCAGTCGCAGGTGATCTTTGATCGAGCTGATGTAACACTAAGGTTTAGAGAGAAGTTCACTCGAAGATAGAAACGTAAACTCTGAAGATGAGAGATACCAACAATGGTTCTCCTCTCCCTTATATAGCTCTCACCAACAAGTACAAGGTGATAAGATCTAATCCCCACCATCCATCCCACTTCTAGTGGATGGATGACGTGGCGGATAACCCTAACAAGCACACGGATTGCTGACGTGGCGCACCCAACTAACACACTAACTAACACACTCAATCCTTACCTACAAGCACACGGATTGCTGACGTGGCACTGTCAACTAACACATCCACTCTGTACCTACCAAGTGCGCGGATCGCTGATGTGGCAGCTATGACTAGTGCACACTAAAGTATCTACAACCATATTCAGAGTAACCTCTACTTTAGTTCTAACTAACTAAAGATGGTTACAAAACTCCCTCCTTTTAAGATGCAACGTCCTTGTTGCACATACGTTCAAACTCCTGAACTATCAAAGGTGCATTTGCTAAATTTTTAGCTGGTTCCCAAGTTGATTTATACGAGGGATAGCCTTTCCATTGAATCAAATACTCTACTTTGGGATATTTATGACCTCGAATTCGTTTCTTGAGTATCTTTTCTACCTCAAACTCCTCATGATCTGCTATCAAGGTTGGAAGAGGAGGTGATGCTGGTTGGTTGGTGAATTGTTTTGATCGTGGTACATGTTTTCGCAATCGTGACACATGAAATACTGGATGTATTTTCATATGTGACGGAAGTTCCAACTTGTATGACACTTCACCAACACGCTTCAAAACCAAAAATGGACCAATGAACCTAGGGTTTAACTTTGGTGTTCCTACAAGAGACAAATTCGTTGTAGATAACCAAACATGATCTTCAACCTCAAAAATCACTTCTCTACGATGAGCATCGGCATGCTGCTTTTGCCGATTTTGAGCTATCACCAACTTCTTCTTTGCCTGATGTAGTCCTCGGTGAATATGCTCCACAAATTCGTTGACGGCTGCAACTTTGGTCGAAAATTCCTCTCCTTTGGGAAGTCTCATCAAACTTGAAGGAGTGATTGGATGAGCTCCATACATAAGAAAAAATGGAGACACTTTTGTGGATGCATTAACAGAATTGTTATATGCAAATTCCACAAGTGGCAAAAGGTTGTCCCACTCTTCTTGCTCTTCTAATGTGAAGGCTCGTAGCATATCTTCTATGGTTCTATTTGCCCTCTAAGTTTGTCCATCAGTTTGAGGATGATAGGCCGTTGACATTGCTAGTTTTGTTTTGAAAAAACTAAACAAAGTTTTCCAAAATAAACTAGTGAAGTGAGTACCTCTATCCGTGATTAACACTTTGTTTAAGCCATGATTTACAAAAACTGCATCTAGATACAATTGAGCTAGTTGTGGAGCTGTTACTGTTTTTGTGGTTGGCCTGATGTGAATCATCTTGCTCAATTTGTCCACAAAAACCACCATTGAATCATGTCCTAACGAAGTCCTTGATAACTCACATACAAGATCCATGGTGACATGTTCCCACCGCTGTTCGGGAATAGGAAGAGGCTGTAATAAACCCGCTGGTTTTTGATTACTTGCCTTGTTTTGTTGACAAGCAACACAACTTCGAACATAAGACTCCACATCCTCACGTATTTTGGGCCAATAGTACACTCGTTGTATACTCTCCACGGTTTTCTCCACTCCCACATGACCTGCAATGGCTGTATCATGACTTTCTGCCAAAATCATTGTGCGCAAATCGTGATCTTGTGGAATCCATATACGCTGATTGTAAAACGCCAAACCTCGAGATTTCTCTGCCTTTCCAGTTTGTAGTGCCCGAGTGATCTCTTCATCCTCCTTTGTGGCTTGTGACATCTTGCTCCACCAATACGCCTGAATTTTCACTTCTGCAACACGATTCAAACAAGGCATGCGTGTGAGAGCATCTGCAAGTTGCTTCTTTCCCTCCACGTACACAATCTTCATGTTGAAGCGTTGACGCCACTCTGCCCATCGAATTTGTCGTTTGGACAGATCCTTCTGAGTTTCCAAATAAACCAAGGGTTTATGATCAGTCTCCACCACAAACTCCTTGTCACCCAAATAATGCTTCCAATGTTTGGTTGCCAACACGATAGCTAACTCCTCTCGTTCTGTCGTGTGATAATTTTGTTCCGCCGCCACCAACTTTCGAGAATAGAAAGCAACTGGATGCCATCCATCCTCCCATTCTTGTTGAAGTATGCCCCCTACTGTTGTACCTGATGCGTCAGTGGCCAACTTGATAGAACGGTTAGGATCATACCACTTGAGAATAGGTGCGTGTAACAAAGCATCTTTCAATGCTTGAAAAGCTAACTCTTGAGCTGTTTCCCATCTCCACTTTTGACCTTTCCCTAACATGGAAGTCAAGGCCTGAGCTAGTCGAGCAAAACCTTTCACAAATCTACGATAGAATCCAGTGAGCCCTAGAAAACTTTTCAATTGAGTTTGATCCTCAGGTGCTATCCATTTCTGAATGGCATCTATCTTCTCACTCATCACTTGGATTCCTGTAGCTGTAACTCTATGATCCAAGTAATCTACTTCTGACTTGCCAAATTCACATTTTGAAGCTTTGGCATACAATTGATTGTCTCTTAAAACTTGAAGTACCTCTCGTAAATGACTTCTATGATCACTCAAAGTTTTGCTATACACCAATATATCATCTAGAAAAACAATGACAGATTTATTTAGATAAGGGCGAAAGATATCGTTCATCAATCCCATAAATGTAGCTGGTGCATTAGTGAGACCAAAAGGCATCACCAGATACTCAAAGTGTCCATACCTAGTACGAAAAG